CGCTTGCTGAACCTCGAAGTGCAGATTTCGTGGCAGGCACAGCACTTCATGAACTTCGAAGTGCTCACACTCACACTCGCACTCACACGCCTCACACTCACGCCCACTCACTCTCCCACTCGCAGACCCTCTCACTCACACTCGCACTCACGCTCACGACTCACCCTCACTCTCGCTCTCACTCTCACTCTCACTCTCACACTCACACTCACACTCACACTCTCACTCACTCTCCCACTCTCACTCTCACTCACTCTCACTTACACTCACACTCACTCTCACTCTCACTCTCGCCCACACTCACACTCGCACTCACACTCACTCTCCCACTCTCACGCACACTCACACTCCCTCTCATCCACACTCACTCACACCCACCTTCACTTCATCACCACCATCACCTCTCTGGACCCCAGTGCGTTTGGATCTCTAGACTTTCTGCTTACAGACCTCACACACACTGTTTGGGGTCTCTTGCCGGGATACTTTGAATTCTTTTCAAAGCAGCCGAACCAGGCCGGTTTCTTGGCATCGTCTTTGCACTTCTGCTGGAGTGTTTCCTGTCAGCTTGGACGTTTGAAGGGCAAGGCCACACAGATTGTGAAACTCAGAAAGAACGAAGTAAGTTGTGTAAAGCCACTGCATGCAGGAATGTGGGATCAAAATGATTGGACAACGTTGGGTGGTTAGTTTCCATGTGTCCATTCTCCTGCTGTGCCCTTCTATCCAGATCTCAAATTGTCAGGCCAACTCTGATCTACAGCAAGTTGTTGCACAACAACTGCGTGAACTGGCACAGACGGATGCAAAGAAGTTGCATGCTTTCACCAGCGCGCAAGGACCCGACAACTCAAACGTTGAGATGCGGATGGTGGGTGCCGGATAGTGTGGCCGGCTCGTCGAACAGGCAAGTTGTCGAACGGTGAGTCTGAAAGTCTCAACGCAATAGTTGTTGGCCAACGAACGTGAAACCAGTCGGTTGAACAGCCGTCTCGGACCATGAGCTAGATGTTGCAGAGGAAGCCCTTGCAGGCATGGATTGTTGATCTTGCTATTCCGTAAGCTCATGGGTTTCTTTGAGCAGGAAGCGGGACAACTTATTGCCACTAGTTTTTGTGTATTTAGCCCGAGATTGATCGACAGACTAGGAGCGAACTGCCAACCCTGGTGGCTGCTTGCAAACCTACTACTTTGCTCTGCCATCAGTCGATGGCCACTCATTTTGCTGATGGTCTTGAACGGCTTTTGCGTTGTTGCGAAGGTGGTCATCGGTACTTTTTCCTGGACATCCACAAAGGACTATATGATGTGCCAATTGACCCTTGGTCATAGCAAGAGAGCAGAGTGGGTTGACGACCCCAACCGCTTGCCCATTGGCCAATCGTTGGCCAAGGCTCGTTCCATAATAAGCCCGGTTCATTCGTTGTTCATTCGTGTTTTCTTTTGAAGTTGATCAAGTGTACGGCGTGTATGTAGAAGTTGAAAGAGTGTGAGCACAACCTGGTGAGGAAGCTCTTCGTAGCAGGAGCATGTCTAGTTTTGCCGCTTTTGGTTTGGAACATTGCTGCATGGGCCTTCGTGCACTTGGCAGTGCGATTGGCTACACACTTGCTCCCAGACCTGCTTCGGAGCTTACAGCCCGGCTTGCAGCCCTTGCCAATTGAGGCTCTCAACTTCTCAACACGAAATAGCTGACACGTGTTTTTGTCCTTTTTCTGAGCAGATCAAGCCATCCTGCGACCCCCGAATTCATTGCTGGTTTCCACGCTCCTCAACCATGATACTGTAGGGTAGAACTCTATCTAAAGCTGTGACATGACAATACATCATGAATTAGGCTTTCATGTGGGAGAAGCAGAGTTTGTCATGAGATGGTTAGGTGTTGGCCTCCCTCTTCAGTTGAGTCTTCATCCGTCCCAATTCTTTTCTGAGCTGTATCCCGCATGTGGGAAACGAGCACAATTTATAAAAGTGTTAAGCAGATTGCCGCCAGGCATTTCAGAACTTGTCCGCCGTAGTTTTTGCTGTGTGGATCATGGCGAAGTTCCTGATGCTTGTGGAGGTCCTTGGCAGTCACCGCTACTACAGAGAAGTGCTGGGTCGCAGGAGGCAAACTGGCCTTCCCAGCATATCGTTCCATGTTGTGGACGCTTTCTATGGGTTTCTTGGATTTGATTAGCCATTCGGCACCAAATGTCCAATCGCAAAAGTATTTGGACATCAGCTACAAAACCAGATGATGCACATCCCAGACGTGGCAGCATTTTTTGGATCATGCAAAATATGGCTTGCAGCCGCGCATATCGAGAAATTAGCTGAACACGAGGTATATCATGATATATCCTGGCTGTTGTCCCGATAAAGCAAAGACGAAAACAGAGACAGCCCCTTCCAGAGGTTGCACAAGTCATCACAATCACTCGAAAGCCGCACCTCATTGTTGGGGAAATAGCAGCGAGCCACAGTTCTCAGAACAAAGTAGTGATCGTCTTAGCAACCAAAGGTTTCAGTTGCTTTGCGAGTGCCTGCTTGAGGAGCAGTTCCAGAAGAAAAGAGGCCATAGGATTGGGTTTACCGGCAGGTGTATACAGCGCAACCAGTGCACATCAAAACCTTGGAACCTCTATGTAAACCTTTGCTTTCAGAATCCTGAAACCATCAGAAACCTTCAACTACCCGCTTTCACCTGACCTTTGCCAGGTTGTAGGTCAGAACAGAACCCAAAAGGTAGGACATCTGTAACATGAAACAAGATTGAACACTCCTTGCAGGACACATCAGCATATTTTGCAACTCCTGAATGGGATTGACTAAAAAGTACTACAAAGCAGAGCATGAATTCGCACAAAGCACATCCAATATCAGATTGAACATCTCACGAAAACTGGGCAGGTGATTTCATAGTGTTTTTACTGGAGTCGCGAGGCAGATCCTGCATCACGAACAGGCGTGCCATTGTGGGCTGTTGCTCGAACCAGAGATTTAACCACGGGCAAAACAGCAAGAAAGGTGGCAACGAAGCTGACATGGAAAAGCGTAGGGAGCTATCCCCTTCGTCTCAGTTCTGCCCAAAGCGCAATCAAAGCAACTCACAAGGTAATCCGACTCAGAAAGAGCCTCAAACGGAGGTGTCAACGCTGAGAATGCTGGCTGACTGTGCGCTGTAGAATTCAGCTGTGTGCAAGTTTCCCGCATGTATTCCGAGCACTTTTTGCAAGTACCCACGTGCAGTCCACATACTTTAAAGGGTAGAGTCCAAGTAGAGGTTGCGCGAAGGAACAGTTATATTATCAGCGTTGAGTTGAGGATGCTAATTCGTGCCCAGAAACAACGTTCTGCCAAGGAAGTTTTTATAACTTTTGACTGTGTGAAACATCCAAGAGACAGGTTTTCCTATACGATCGTGGCCTTCCACATTGCATGGGCTTCGTTAGAGCAGGCCTCCTTGCTTCAACGGCGTTGGTTGCCGGGTGGCTGGTCGCCTATTGGCATTTTCCTCTCTTTGATCCTGCGGGGTGCTTTCCTGCCTTTTGGGACCCTTGGCATGTTTCCTGCACCCTTCAGGCTGAAGAATTTGAGACATTCTCCAAGAACCTCTGGACAGCGGGTGATTGTAAGATAGTCCAACCCCAGATTAGTCAATGTGTTCTTCTAGCCCAGAGTGGAACTGACAGGAACCCAGAGTACATTGCTTCAGAGGAACAACAACAGCGTTAAACCGTTAAGAAAGGCAGGGTCAAAACATCTCGGAAAGACCAGTCCAGAGTCAGAGTATTTCCGAATACTGCAGATTTGCGTGATAAGAAAAACTGCTTTTTGAGGTTGGAGTCTAGCCTTTTCCTTATAAGAAAAATGGCCGAGTCTAAACTACATTTCTTAATCCAGGGTGTCCATTCACTAGGTTATAGTATTAATATTTTCAATTGAGATTTTCTACCAAAGATAGATTCCAAGTCATTTACCTTCTCCGAGAATTAGCTTCCAAATCCTCTTGTTGAGTTAAGATATGTTAAGATTCTCAGCGCAATTACCAACCGCAGACCAGAGTAGTCCAGACGAGGCGTTGCTAAAGCCGCTAAAGGCATAACCACGAAAGCCACGAAACCTAGCTGTGCTATGGAGTTCCTCTTTCTTTAGCGATTTGGGAGGGAGAGAGCCATCTCAAGCAGGATGACTACGGGAACTTTTTTGGTCGATTCCATGGCTGCGTGGGAACAGCGAAGCTGCTCACCAACGGTTCCAAGATTGAGAAATGTTTAAGCAATCAGAGGAGCTCTGAGAAGGTGGAATTGTGCCTACTCGTAATATTCAAAACCGCAGTAATTCAGACCGAAGCAGCCTGAAATAATCTAGAGTAACCACAGTATCTTGTAGTCCAGAATGCTCGGATTTAGCTCAGCTGAGCTCTGTGGTCGCAAAGCAGTCTGTTTGAGGATGAAACTGAAAGCAGCAATGTCCGGCCCTCAGGGCCCTCCTTGCATGCGTCGCATGTCTTTGCTCGGACGGTTCGACATAGACAGCTCGATGGGGAGAATGAGTGGAATGATTCAACAGACACATCAGGCATCAAGTACGCATGCAAGCTTTTGAAGAAACAAGTTCTTGCAGGTTTGAAGTAGGCTTGCAGCAGATCATTCCAAGGGCACGTTTAAGAAGAGATCAGTACTTGAACTTGCTTGTTTGATGCCAGTTTCATTAAACATCAATGCAACGCGGTTGTGGCCAAGTTGCAACAGCTTACTGCAAATAAAATGAGGTAACAAGAACACTTTTTGAATTCATAATTTATACTTTAACCTTTCGCGTGCTACAACCTGCGGAAACCTGATGATGTGATGAAGACGTGTGAAAGTGTACAGCCCCCAATGTCATATTGAACCGCCCAAACAAGTAACTGATGCTCGTGTTAAACTTGGTCAAGACTATCCGAAGTAAAGCAAGGAAGCAGTTTCTAAAGCGAATGGATCCCGCGAAATGCGATTAGGACACATGCAAAACATTGCAAAACCACAATTTCAACAATGTGTGCGTGTGCGTCTGCGTGGTGTGTGACTAAGTGTGTGTCCCACCCTGTATTCAAGGGTTCCGCAGGGGGTGGTAGCAAGGCAGAAAGTCTACCACCAACGAAGACACTCTCTAAGCCTTGGTAATACTGCCTGCACCGTGACAACACACTACTTTTCCTGCGCTGTTCTTTGCTAAGGCGGTTCATGTTCCTTCCCCCTAAACCTTTACAGAGCAGCCGCGCTACGCAGTTTTGTAGCCACTTCGAACCTTTGTTCAAGCACCTTCAAATTCACCGACCCAGCATTCTTTCCGTTTGCGCTACAGTCAAGGGCCGTGCATTGGTGGATTATCGCTTGAATGCACCTATCGAAAAGTGTGTGTGTGTGCGCGCCTGTGAAACCCTTCATTCTTGAAGTCACCGCTCAACGAAGACGCTTCAAGGTTGCTGTGATATGCAATCTGGACGCAGATTGCGCGTACCTGCGAGCAGATGTTCACCTTTACTTCCTCCTTGGACCCGCATAACTAGAACAAGACTTCTATTTTCTAACAAGCTTGACCGACTTGCAGATGCACCTTGTCGCATTCCGGAATTGGACTTTAAGACTTTGAACCACCCTTGTCGCGAGACCTCCAGGACGGTCAGACCACCTTACACGCCACCGTCAGGACTATGGTTAGCTAGGTCGCCGTGTCGCAAGCGGCTTTCAGTTCCGCATGAATTTTCCCGAGTGTGTCTGGCCTAGTGCCAGCCAGCACTGATCCCGAAGAACGCTTTTACATGGCCCCGTTGAGGTTCGTCCACGTCCTTGCGCCGGGCTGGCTAGAGCAGTCCACAGCGGACGGAGTAGGCTTGCGCCAAAGCTACAATACACAAGACTTGCTGACCTGGACTGATTTTTGAGCAGGCTGAAAGCTGGAAGGTGTCCAGAGTGGACTGGAGTAGGTTGAACGCCAGGAGTAGGCCACAGCGGCCGTACCTTTTCTCAAGGCCCGGTGGACCGTCCTGACCTTGAGCGCACATACGTACGCGCAAGAGAAAAAAGGGATGAGGCGCCAAGACGCGAAGACAGAAAGACATGAAAAGACAAAGGAAAAAGAGTGTGTGCAAAGGCTGCAAAGGGGAAAAAATCAAGGGGGAACCAGATGGAAGGGCCGGAAAACAACGAAGCCAAGGTCCGGCCCTTAGTGTACACGCGTGCTTGCACTTGATCCCAGGTTTGGCGTCGCCCAGGTTGTTATAAGGATTTTGCGCGCGCTCGCATGTACATTTAGCTTGAACATTAGTTTTGCTGTTGCCTCCCTTTACGGGAGGCGTGTGTGTGTGAAACACTTGGAGTCACCAGGAACCTTTTAGTTGTTTAACTGTGTAGGGCAGCGGTGAGAATTCTTGATGTCACCGCTCAACGAAGACGCTTCAAGGTTGCTGTGATATGCAATCTGGACGCAGATTGCGCGTACCTGCGAGCAGATGATCACCTTAACTTGATAACCTTTACTTCCTCCTTGGACCCGCGTAACTAGAACAAGACACTGAACAAGACTTCCATTTTTCTAACGAGCTTGACCGACTTGCAGATGCACCTTGTCGCGTTCCGGAGTTGGACTTTAAGACTTTGAACAATTTGGGCAACCTCCCTTTTCACGAGACCCCCAGGATGCTCAGACCACCTTACACGCTACCCTCGGGACTATGGTTAGCCAGGTCGCTGTGTGGCAAGTGGCGCATAAGTTTTCCCAAGTGTGTGTGTGTGTATGTCTTTGACAAGTTTCTTTTTGAGTGAAACGCGTTGAATTTCAACAAATCACGCAGAGGATCAAACAGTAATAAATAAATAAGTAAATATGTATATATATAGATGTAGATGGCTCTCGATTCTTCAGATATCAAAGCCCTGCTTCTGGAAAAGAGGAAGAGGTTCGAACAAAATATGCCAGCGTAGACCCCAGATAACAAAAGGTGTTTGTGGGCAGCACACTGCCGCAGCGCTCTGCGGCGCCCTCCAGCGGCGCCACCGCAGGCGCCGCGCGGCGGCGCCGCCCAAGTGCCCAAACACACACCGCAGCAGAGGTCCCTTGAGCGGCGCCTTGCAGCACCAGGCTCCAAAGCGCGACGAGGCACACACCCGGCAACAACACCAGCACGCAGGCTCCAAAGCGCGCGCGGCCACGTGCCCAAGATCCAAAGTGCGCACAGCGGTGCCCTCCAGCGGCTCCGCGCAGCAGCGCCCTGCAACACCCAAGCCCTCAACCACACACAGCCGCGGCACGGGGCCAACGCCCAAGCTCCCAAGCGCACGCAGCAGCAGCGCCCTGCAGCGGCACCAGCGCCCAAGCTCCCAAGCGCGCGCAGCAGCGGCGCCTTGCAGCCGCACCCTGCGCGCAAACTCCCAAGCGCGCACAGCAGCGGCACTGCAGCGGCGCCGCCACCCAAGCTCGAACACGCGCACGCGCAGCTCTTCGTAAGAACCGCGCTAGTTCATGCCATCTGGGGAAAAGCACACATGCCTCACGAAGACAAATCTTGCCGTCGTTGCAGGGTAAACAGGCATCCGAGCAGCTGGTTCTCAGTTGGCTGCAGTGTCGTTACCTTAGCTTTGCAGCGCGGCAGCGCTCTCGTATTCTTGGAATAAGGATGGGCAAGCCAGTTGAAGGCGCTTTGAATTCTCCGCAGGGTTTGGATACAAGTCGGGCTTCTGCCTTGCCTCCAACATTTCTGGTCGTTGCTTGACCTTTTCTTCCCCTGTCGATTCTTTTTGAACTGCGGTACATGTCACCCGTTTTCCCTGTCACTTCCTGTCACTTCTCCTTCCAGCTATACACTTGAAGAATATGATTTGTTTGCGCTCTTGAGCATACTGAGAGCTGCATGTTTGCGTGATTTGGGTTGGACGAAGGTTGGTCCTAAGATGTCCTAAGAAAAGACATGAGGAATGCATTGGATGTAAATGTATCGCATATTTATATATATATATATGTGTGTGTGTTTTAATAACAGATTCTGGTATTGGCTTGCTGTCGGTGAATTTTTTCTTCCCTGGTACCACACTGTCAGAGCCTACAGGCTTGAAAGTTGAGCTGGTAGATGGCCATGTGAGGTATTTTTCTGTGCATCGATTGCTCCATGTGCAACCCTTTTATACCTGCTGGCACAAGGACATGTAGATGAGCATGGGTTTCAAACGCACCACATGAACCTGAGACCACATGTTTCTGAATCTGTAGGAACATCATTTCTCGGCATCGCAGACGTGTCTCACAGCCTGCCAGGAGTCCGTGTTTTCAATCAATCAAGAGAGTCACAGAGAGTCTTTTTTATTTGCATATTCAATCATCAAGAATGGAGTGAGATCCGCTCGAGCAAATTCTTTTCAAACCGTTTGACGAGCAAGGGTTCTTTGGTCTTTTGAGATAAGCCAGGAGTCTGGTTTGCTCGAGAGCGGAGCTGAGGTGCAGGGCTTGCAAACGACCTATAGAACTGATTTGTCTCAGCGTGTTGTGCAATCAGAGCTCATTGACTCTATAGTGCAGTTGCCATCCTCTTGTTTGTTGCATTACCGCTCTTGTTGTGTTCTTTGGCCGCTCCGATGCCATGAAAGGGAATTTGCTGCCCCTAAGCTTTTCATGAGAAACATGTTCGCTGGGCAACGTCCAAAATTGTAGGTTCCAGGTTGTGAGGATCATCTTCTAGAGGGGCCTCGCTTCAATGCCTGCTGCGTCCATTCGTCCTGCCATCCTGTGTATGCTTTGAAGCCTCTCTCTGTTTGTTTGATATGAATCTTTCTCTATCTCTCGCAAGTGGCTTGCGCAAGTGCACACCTTAGATCTACTTACTCGTTGCGTGAGCGAAGTATAAAATCAAGTTGGCCAGGGTATCGTTTTGTAGTTGGAAGAATGAAAGAGGAAGAAGCCTTGGGGAGACGAAAAGCACCATGAAAGTTTCACTATGTGTCCCACCTACCACAACTATATCCTGGGCGCTCGTGGACTGCCGTTGGGCTCCGCGGGCGCTCTTGACACATGTTCGGGCGAGCGGGCAGGCGGGCGAAACCCTTGGAGTCAGAGGGCTTCCGTTGGAGTTTTTGCTTGGAGATTGTTACTTTTAGCAGGGCCCAACGCGCGATATCAACAACCTTGACCAACGAAGCTGGGTGATATCGCGGGGTATGGGACTTGGCCAGTCCGATGTACCTGCTCTAGTCTAGTGGGTGATTCTTATGTCTCGCCCGAAAACAGCGATTCGTCAGTCTCGCTCCCTAGCTAAACAGGAGGCTTCTCTTTCCTCTAGCTAAAAAGACAGGAGGCTTCAAATCCTTTTTACTTACTTAGCGCGATTCACTTGTCTCGCTCCATTTTGGAACCTCTGTATGAACCCAAGTAGTGTATGTGGCAAACCGCACTTGTGTCATACGCTTTTTCTTGAATGTGTGAAACCCTTCAAGTTGACCTTCTACTTGCAATGGCCTCCCACCTAGCTGCAACGGCCTCCGACCTATTTGGGACGACCTCCTGTGTGTGAAACCCTTGGAGTCACACCTACGCTGAACCGCTGTCTTGTCTACTTGCTACTCACCTAGTAACGATGACCCCCAACCTTTGTGAGGGCCTCTCACCTTGGTTTGACGGCCTCCAACCTAAATGCGACCTTCGCCCTATATACTTTTGAGGACAAGAAGAGGACAAGGCCCAGCCACAGAGCCCAGCACAGAGGACAAGAGGAGGACAAGAGCCCAGTAAGCCATCCATAGCACACGAGCGCCCTGCTCTCTCTCTCTCTCTCTCTTGTAAAATTCAGCAGCTGTTTGTTTGTCGTTTGTTTTGTGCACGTCACTGTATTGTTTTCCTCTTGGCAATTGTCCTTAGGCTCAAGGCCTCGATCCAAGGTGCATTGTATAGCACCAAACAATTGTACATGAACACTACGACAGGGCAAGTATGCTATTGTAAAAGAACTTGTATCTTGACACCGTCCCTGGGTTTGATTCATTGTTGAATCACACCATCAATACAAACATTGTTGAAACAGTAAAGGAACATTATTGTACAAAGTTCAAGCATTGTAGACAAGTCTGTACATCTTTTCTGCCATTGTCTCTCCAGTATTGTTGCCTTTCTCATCGTAGTGCTCGTGTGGCATTGTCATAGCTGGAGATCAGCAGCTTGTTGAACCATTGTTCTAGCCCTCCATGTCGCCCATCTGACTTTCTTGGGCTTCTGAGGATTGTCTGGGACGTTTGTCCCTTTCTCTTCCTCCTCGTCCTCAGATTTCTCCAGGTCAATTGTCTTGTCACGCTCCTTGATGTAGGAGCTGTGGTCAGGATGACCTCGTTGTTGCCTCTTTGGGATTGTCACGTGGTAGGTGTCGATCTTCTTGTCCGCCTTGTACACTCCAAGGGCCAATTGTACATCTGGCGGGAGCTGGGACTGACCAAATTGTCCAAGATGCGCCGAGGCCATCCCAAAGATTGTATGATGAGGCGAATCTTCTGAAATGGTCAGCATTGACCTCACGTGCATTGTGCGGCCATAGTTCCAAACCCAGCCATTCGACCAGTTGTACGCATTGTAGTTCAGGTAGAGCGCCCGCAGATTGTTCTTTTCAGCTTCTGTGAAGTGATAGTCATAGGGCGCATGAACTTGTAGGACTTGGACGCTGTATCCCCTCTGGAATGATGTCAACATCTTTTGTGACATGTGACGCACCATATTGTGTGCATCAAAGGCTATTGCCAAAACGATTGTCACTTCGCTCGTCATTGTGTGGCCCATCGATTGGTATGCGAGCCACTGAATTGCTTCCTCTGTTGTGAGAACCATAATGAATTGTTCCCAATTCCCCGGCTTTCGCAGCTTGTCGGGCAGCTTGTCGATCTCGTTGTTTCCATTCAACATGTTTGTATACTCTGCCATTGTGACAGCTGCAACCCAGTAAGTCGTAATATTGTCGAGGACATCGCTCCAAGCGCTGTCCTTGTAGTTCGAGGGCAGCAGGATCTTGATTTCAATCTTGTCCTCATTGTAGATGATTGCCCTGTCTTCCCACAGCGAGACTGTCGAGTTCGTTGGTATCCTGCGCTGATTGTGGTAGTCGGCAACTGTCGTCTCAACTGCCATTGGTGCCCTTGAGATTGTTCTCGAGGATGTCGGTCCAAATTGTCACAGCTTGTGAGCTTGAAGGCGGCTGCGGTCAAAAATTGTCGACAAATTGTCAACCAAACATGCAGTGTCATCCAAATTCTGAAAGCAAGACTTCAAACACATTGTTCATCGAATTGTTCTCCGAAACGACGGAAAGAAAGATTGGATCGAGTTGTGAGACTGACATCTTGTAGTACATATTGTCTATGACATAGTATGCACATAGTAGGTAAAGTAGTGTGGCATGGCTTGATGCCCCCGTGTGTGTATTGTACACGCATAGATGCTGCCATGGTTGTGAAACTGTTTGTACGGCCGTTGTTCAGTTGTGATGTTGTGGGCATTGGTACCAGTTGTTGTATGAAGAGGTACTTTAGGTCAATGTGCGTTGCTTTCTTTGATGAGCCAATTCTTGTTGCTATGCTCTTCCCGCTTGTGCTGTCGGTGTGTATGCGGATGTTCACCTTTGTTGTTGTTGCTTCCTTGATGAAGTTTGGTATATGTAGTCCTTCTTGTGCTCCTGTGCCAATTGCAGAAAGCTCTGATTCTGCCGATGATAGTGCTACTACTGCTTGCGTTCTGCTTCCAAATTGTACCACGGATACCATCATTGTCACGATGAATCTACTTGTTGCTTTTCTTGTGCTTGGGCATCCTGCCCAGTCCGCATCAACATACATGTTGAGGTCAATGGGTTCCTTTGTTTGTGGTGTATGTGTTGTCCTCAGGATCATTTTGTAATGTTGTGTTGCTCTGAGGTATCGTAAAAGATGTTTCACCTTGCGCAGGCTTTGTTGTGTTGGTTGTTGTAGGTCTCGTGCCAGCTGGTGTCTGGTCTTGTGTAGGTCAGCCCTTGAAGCTTTCGTACTGCTCTCCTGTAGTCTGCATGTTCTTGTGCATCTAAAGGCGCATCATCGTTTGTGGATTGTTTCAGGGTTGCCGTCCCTGGAGCTGACGCTGGATTGCTTGCTTCCATTTTTGTTTCCTTCAGCGATGTGGTGATGTATTCTGGTTTGAGGCTTACCTCAAAGAAGTCTCCATTGTTGTGGATGTCTCTGCCAAGGAATTGGATTGTCTGACCAATCCCCAAGGTGCCGGTTGGTCGCAGTAGCACATGCATTTAAATTTGTACTTCTTTGAAAGTCTTGTCGACTTCTTGCTGTTGTCCCAAGAATAGTAGGTCGTCTACATAGACCATCACAAACATTGTCTGTTCATTGTTCCTGTATATACGTTGGGTTCGCTTGTCAGTCGAGACAGTCCGATTTGTTGTAGTACTTGTGCAAAGTGAACCTGCCAAGATTTTGGACTTGATCGTAGTCCATAGATTGCTTTGTTGAGCTTCCATACTGCGGTTGTGTTGTGACCACTTGGGTATAGTTCTGGCGGCGGTCACATGTAAAGATTGTCTGTTGCTGCTGGGGCATGTAGGAATGCTGTTGATACATCTCCTGCTTGTATTGTCCAGTGGTTGCGTTGTGCCATTGTCAGTCGGATGCGTAAGATCCCAAAGATTGGTGTGCTCGCATACATGTTGTCAAGGTCTTGGATTGTTTCCAAGTAGCCTTTTGCTACTATGCGGCATCGCGCTTCATCTTGTTTGGGTTTGTTAACCCGCTTGGATTCTATGATCCTGTTCTTGTGTTCTTCAGGGACACCATTCTAGTTCATCTCTGTGAACACTCCTTGTGTCTTCATCGATTGTGCTTCTTTCTTCATTCCTTGTTGTACTTTCAATGGATCAAGACCTTCATTGTCGTAGACGAAGGGTTCTTGTAACGTCCTCTCCACGTCTGCTTCTGGTTCATCTTCACAGGATGCTGTGGTGATCTTGTCACCTTTCTTTGTGGTGATTGTCACTGCTCGTATTCTCATCTTTGCTTTTGGTTGTTCTTCATCTTGTCCTCGGTTTGCTGCTGACTGTGGTGTCCTTGATTGTTTGGAGTGTGCTTCGCCTATAGGCTCCTCGTGTTGTCGCTTGCTTGCTGGTGGTATTGGCAGTGGTGGTCTTGCCATTGTTGTTGGTGAAGTTGCCAATGGTGATGTTGCCATTGTCGTCTCCATTGGCTGATGGTGCATTGCTCGCGCTGGTAGCGCCAGTGGTGTCTCTTGTATTGTCTGTGCGCTTGTATCTTCCACTGTAATGTCGGCTTGTGTGCCAATTGCTTGTCAGCTTGCGATGTTGTCAGCTGGTAGAAGCAATTGTGGTGGAATTGCCATTGTATGTTGGTGTTGGCAAATTCCATGGATACACGTTGATAGTATCCAATAGTTGCTTGTCGTACTTGTCTGGCATGATCTGTCTTCGTATTGTTCTTGCTTTGATGACCTTGCCAGGGATGCCAACTATTGACTCTCCAGTCATTGTATCTCTGCCAAGCCAGATTCCTTTGAAGAATCTTAGTTCCATCTTGTGTAGTGCTTTTGTTGTTGGTATCATGTGTTGTACTGTTTCTGCCATCTCGCATAGTGGTGCTTTGTGGTCCTTCTGCCATCGTCTTTGGTAACTTGTTTGTCCGTCATTGTGCATAGCATACCTGTTCAGTAGCCATGCTGCATGCTGCACAATCCACGGCGTGATCGGATGTTGTACGCTCAATGTAAGGTTGTAGCTTGTGGTCACTTGTTGTACCAGTGCTCGGACTTGTCCCATCAAGGTGCGATGGAATCGTTCAATGCTTCCTTGTGATTGTGACGAGTATGCCGGTGATTGTCGGGTGTTGACTTTGTTTCCGAGCTTTTGCGCGACGGCCTTCAGTAGGTTCTGTATGTATTCTTCTTGGTCTGATTGTAGTGTTGTGGTAGATAGTGTTGCTTGTGCCCGTCCACATTCGAACATGAATGTTTGTAGACACCGTATCAGGTATTGTTGTTGTTGTTGGTTCTTGTCTTGTACAAGAAC